GGATTGATAAGTTGATTGTCAGAGGTGTATTGTTAACGTGACAAGTTAGGAGTGATGCAAACTGAATTCATACTCCGTGGGGTGATGATCGTCAGAAGTGTAATGTTATCTTGACGATGTGAAAGATTTATTACTCTTAATCCAATGGATTCCAAGTAACCAACCCCCAGTCTTGATTAAGACTTAGCAGGGGAATAAAAAGAGGTAGACAAGGCACATCACCTAGTGGGGCACTATCCATGAAGTCAGAATAGAGGCACATCACCAGATAGGCCATTATCTGATAAGTTTGACTATCAGAGGTAACTGTTAACGTGATAGTTTTGTGGACCCGCCATCCTACTTGAAGAGTTGGTGGGGAAATTTGGAGGAAAAGGACTATCAGAGGTGACGGTTAACGTGATAGTTTTGGTGGACCCGTCATCCTATTAAAGAGGATTAGTGGGAGAATTTAGAGGAAAAAGACTATCAGAGGTGACGGTTAACGTGATAGTTTTGGTGGACCCGCCATCCTACTTGAAGAGGATTGGTGGGAGAATTTGGAAGGAATAGACTATCAGAGGTAATCATTAACGTGATAGTTTTTTGTGGAAGGAATAGACTATCAGAGGTAATCATTAACGTGATAGTTTTTTGTAGACCCGCCATCCTACTTGAAAAGGATTGGTGGGGGAATTTGGAGAAACTAGACTATCAGAGGTGACGGTTAACGTGATAGTTTTAGTGGACCCGCCATCCTACTTGAAGAGGATTTGTGGGAGAATTTGGAAGGAATAGACTATCAGAGGTAATCATTAACGTAATAGTTTTTTATAAACCCGCCATCCTACTTGAAGAGGATTAGTGGGAGAATTTGGAGGCAAAGGACTATCAGAGGTGACGGTTAACGTGATAGTTTTGGTGGACCTACCATCCTACTGAAGAGGATTGGCTTCAGTGGTCGTGGTATCTTCTTCTTCTGACTGAGAAGATTGGGCTTGGTCCGATTGCTCAGGTGGATCCTGCCTACATTGTTCTTCAGCTTTGATCCTGATAATAATCTTTTGAGCCTGTTCTCCTTGAGAGATTAGTTGTCTCCAAGAACGGCATTCTGCAACTCCGATTCGGGCTAGGAGGTCAGTCTGCAAGTTGTGTCGACAGGTCTCTACTAAGGTAGACTGTGTCATACCTGACGAACACCGGAGAGCCATGGTTCGGAACCTCTTGACGAAAGCTTTGACGGACTCCCTCTTCTTTTGCTTAGTAGCAAGAAGGGTATGGATGGAGACTTCTGTATCCTCTTCAAAGAATCTTGACAGGAAGAGTCTCTCTAGATCCGCCCACTTTTGGATACATCAGGTAGTTTCCTGACCCATTCAAAGGCAACTCCCTTGAGGGTGCCAATGAATAATCGAGCCAATATGGCATCGTTTGATATCACATTCCCAGTCTGTGACTTGAAATGATAGATATGTTGGTTCGGTGATTCCATGCCGTCAAAAGTTTGTAGCGTCGGGACCTCGAATTTTGGAGGATAAGGGGCTGCATCCCATTCGGCAGGATAGGGTCTGACAACTCCCTCTTCTTGGAGCTCGCTTCTGTTGGAAATGGCATTGAGGCGGGCTTCCAATTCTTCCATTTTAGCAGATTGGAGATTCTGCTCGTTCTCAGTCTCTCTTCCTTTATCAGAGGAAGATTCCAGGTTGTGGGCTTCTTGATCAGAAGTAGCACCATCAACCATTTTTTCCTTCCCTCTACTTGTGTAAGGTCGGGATGGAGATGTTTTTCCTCTCTGGGAGGATTTTTGCCTAGGTGGTGAATCTGTCTTCTGAGATTTAGCCTTGTCTGCGACGAGTTGATTCAACAGGGCCATGAGTTCATTGAGGGTCTTCTGCTGTGATTTGAGCATGACGTCTTGCTCAGCAACCCTCTTTGAAAGATCTTCAGAATGTTCTGCCATGTGGGTGAAGCTCTCATGCCCAATGAAAGAGCTTGATGATTGAGACTCCGCAATGGCTGAGTGTTCAGGGGGAATGGCTCCTGTTCGCGTCCGAGTGCGTTGGTAGATTCCTTCAAACTCGTTAGCGATTTCTCTCTGACGGTCGGTGAACGACTTGTCTCAGAGTCATTGGAACTAGGAGCTGAGACTTTTCCTCTGCCGATCACATTGATAGTGACCCCAAGATATTCGGTCTTTGGAGACTTCTTCCTGTGAGAACGTCGTCGTTGGTTGGGCAAAGCAACGTTCATAAATTGGTCGAACACCGGGCAAAGCAACGTTCATAAATTGGTCGAACACCAACAGTTTGGCCGCATATGAGCAGCATTGACATCCTGAGAGGACCGTAGGAGTCAGCCGTTCACATTGGAATGAACGAATGACTTGTTGCATCGGTCTTTCTCTCGATATGAACTCTCTCAAATCTATTGTGAAGATTCGAGGAGAATTACTCACTGATCGTGAGGTTTGAATTGGAACCCCCAGTCCATAATTGGACAGGACTGGCTCTTGGTGAACATGGATTTGGTTGAGATGCCTTGAATCCATGAACTTCTTATATCTGCCCCTCAACCTAGTCGCGCTATGTAGAGTATACACCGGGTTCTGTATTAGATTTCGTCACCCGAACGCATGCCTGAGAGTTGCGTTCAGTTAATGGAACGCACTCCTGAAGACTGCGTTTTGACTGTACAATGCACCACTGAGGGCTGCGTTCAGTCTTATTCACACAGAGCCTATGTTTGGGCTCATAAACGCAAGGCTTGTGTTCTGAAGCAGAAACGCAGAGCACATGGTCGCGTTTAGGCTCACAAACACGAAGCTCGTGCTGACTTGAAGATCGGCATTCACAGAGATGTGCTCGTCGTAGGGATCTCATCCTTCGTCGAGCGACGTTCTTCTTTGCCTGCTTTAAGGCTTTGGCAGCAACACCTTCAACTCGGTGGACGAGTTTCAATCTGGCCCCAAGGAGAGGTCTTCCTTCGGCATAGGAGCAACAGTTGGATCTTTAGTCTCTTTGGAGACTTTGTGGATCTTGCACATAGCCTTGGGGCTAAGGGATCCGGAGGAGAGGGCCTCCTCAAACTTGGCTTGATCAAACTCTACCACGAGAGTTTCGACGGTTGTTCCAGTGAGATGAACGTCGGATTGCGCCACCACTTCTTCGTTAGAGAAGATTTTCCCCAGCGGAGTCGCCATCTTTTGTTTGTGGAAAATTTGTAGTAAAAGAAACGAAAGAAAAATTGATCTGTATTCCTTTAATCTCAGTTACAATTGGATTTCCTGATTACAAAAGAGAAGAGAATGATCTGGATTCTCCCCTTTGTTTAATTCTGGGTTCTTCACGGTGGCGATGAGATGCCTCCCTCGAATGCTCGCGTCGAGTTTGCTTCTCGTTGACGATCCGACGTCTTGTTTCACTGGAACGTGGTCTTCTCCTCACGATTTGACGTTGTGGAGAACTCTGAACGAGTTTAAACTCTATGAAAGAGTTGATTTAACCGAAAGTCGGTTATAAGCCAAGGATGAAGAAGATCTTGTTGCCGATCTCCAAAGCTCCAACCGAAGGATGAAGGATCCTCTTTTCACTGCCAAGAAGTTCCAACCGACCGACCCCCACGAACTGAATTGATTTTCAGTTATTTATAGGGGATTAAGGGGTGTAACCACCTCCTTAATTCTCTCCTAGGTGGGGCTAATGGGATGTAACCGCCCCTTAAATCACTCCTGAGTGGAGTTGTGATCCCCTCAGATCGTGGGAAACAGTTTTAAAACTGTTCAGCTCATGTTTGAACGAGTCAAACGCAAAATCCGTGTTCTGGTGTGAATTCTACGTTCAAACGCAGTGTCTGGAAGCTTGAACGCAGTGTCTGAAAGCTCGGGCGCAGCGGCTGGAAACTGCGTTGGCATCTTGTTGGAAGCTGCGTTTGGCGGCTTGGAAACTGCGTTTGGCAGCGGATAGAAGCAGCGTTGGTTGCGTTTGGCAGCGGATCTGAGCTGCGTTTGGAGCTGGATGTGACATGCGTTTATAGCGTTTGAAGGCTGCGTTTACAGCGATTTGGAAGCTGCGTTGGCGGCCGAATCTGAGCTGCGTTTGCAGCTTTTGGAGCTGCTTTTGCAACTTTTAGAGCTGCGTTTGTGGCTATGAATGCGGCGCATCTTGATGCTGGTACGCGGGGAGGACTTCCACTTCTTGATTTGAAGAGACCGTCGATTTGTAGTCTCTTTCTGTCGAAGTGTTGCAAAGATCGTCATTTTGTAATCTTTACTTTAGCTCTCTGATATGTGAGAGTCGTCAGATTATAACTCCCGATGTTGATTATGGAGGCTGTTGATTAGAGCTTTCATCAATTGTTGTGAAGGTCGTCAGATTGTAACCTTCATCGATCTAGGAGGCTGTTGATTAGAGCTTTCATCAATTGTTGTGAAGGTCGTCAGATTGTAACCTTCATCGATCTACATGAAAGTCTTCAAATTATAGCCTTCTGGAAGTCGTCAGATTGTAACTTCCATCATCGGTGTTTGATAGGGATCAGCTATCTATTGTGATTTTTAGACAACCTACAGTTACGTTGTTTACTTATTTAAGCAAATGTCAGGTTGTTTTAGAGTTGCAATTCAATCAATAAAATATTCTCAAACTCTCTCTGTGCCTTTGTTAAACTGAGTGATCTCAGTCTGTCTCCTGCGACAGAGTTTCATCACGTCTCTCCCTCTGTGCCTTTGTTAAACTGAGTTATCTCAGTTTGTTCCAGAGTGTTTTCCAGCTTCATCACGTGGTATTAGAGCCAGTATGCTGAAGCAGATGCCGTCGTCAAGCAAATCCCAGAGTGGGAGCGAGGAGCTCACTGACACAGTAACAGCAAGGGAGGGCTCGGTAACCCTCAAGTACCCAATGCTGTCGAAGTCGAATTACCCGGCGTGGGTAATAAAGATGAAGGCCAACATGCGCGCCCAAGGGGTTTAGGCGGCAATCGAGGCCACCGGCGATGCTGAATCGGTGGACGAGAAGAAGGATCAGATGGCGCTCGCCGTCATTTACCAGGCGATCCCGGAGGAGACAATGCTTCAAGTCGCGGGCAAGGAGACTGCCCGTGAGGTCTGGGAGGCACTCAGAACCATGCACGTTGGTGTGGAACGTGTGAAAGAAGTCAAACTCCAGGCACTTCGGTGGGAGTTTGAGAATCTGCGCATGGGCGATGCGCAGTCGGTGGATGAGTTCGCTACAAAACTCACTACCCTTGTGAACCAAATACGTTCTCTTGGGGAGACAATGGAGGAGAGCCATGTGGTGAAGAAACTTCTCCATTGTGTGCCACCAAAGTTCTTGCAGATCGCCGCGACTATGGAGCAGTTCGACGATCTCAAGACCATGCAGGTGGACGAGGTGATTGGTGCTCTAAAGGCACATGAGGAGCGCTACCGTGACTATGACGACTGGCACGAACAGGCGCTACTAATAAGAGGGGATCCTAAACCCGACGCAAAGTCATCACGGGGAAAGGAATTTCTTTCTCAAAACAACCGCGGGCATGGGCGTGGGTACTCACGCGGTCGTGGTCATGGCCGAGGTCGCGGCAATGGAGGTCGCGGCAGTAGCACCAGTACTCGCCGGGGAACAAACGGAGGTCATGAAGGAGGCCGAGACAAGAGCATGATCAAGTGCTTCAACTGCAACAACTTCGGGCACTATGCTTCGGAGTGTCGCAGTAAGCACCGAGACGAGGAGACCAATCTCACCCGTGTTCTAGATGAAGAGCCAGCACTACTCTTGTCCGAGTGCGCAGGGGGCGCGCGCAACACGGTGTTGTTGAATGAGAAGAATGTTATTCCGAAGCTGCAGACAGATGAGAAGGCACCGGTCGGGTCTGACGTGTGGTACCTGGACAATGGGGCCAGCAACCACATGACAGGCCAACGGTCTATGTTCAAGCACCTGGATGAGAGCATCCATGGGAAGGTGAAGTTTGGCGATGGCTCGACGGTGCAAATCAAAGGGAAGGGATCCATCCTATTTCTATGCAAGAATGGTGAACAACGACTACTGCGGGAGGTATATTTCATACCAAGTCTATGTAACAATATTATTAGTCTTGGTCAGCTCTCTAAAGATGGCAGTAGGACTGTTATGTGTGGATCATTTCTGTGTATATATGACAGGAATGGGAGATTGTTGATCAAAGTCAAGAGATCCCCCAACAGGCTTTACAAAGTTTTGTTGGAAACTTGTGAACCTGTTTGTTTGACGGCAAGCATGGAGGATCCAGCTTGGTTGTGGCATGCAAGGCTTGGGCACGTGAGCTTCCAGGCACTCAAGATGATGGGGGATCGAGTAATGGCACACGGCATCCCGAAGATCAATCATCCAATGCAGATTTGCGAGGGATGTCTTGTGGCAAAGCAAACGAGGAATGCCTTCCCCTCATAGGCGAACTTCAGAGCTAAACACCCACTACAGTTGGTACACGCCGATTTGTGTGGACCGATAATACCGGAGACACCCGTCGGCAACAAATACTTCCTCCTCCTTGTTGACGACTATAGCCGGATGATGTGGGTGTACATGATCAGGCTGAAGAGTGAAGCATTTGGGGCGTTTAAGAAGTTCAAGACATTGATCGAGAAGGAGGTTGAGCACAAGATAAAGGTGTTGAGAACTGATCGTGGTGGAGAGTTCTTGTCTCAACAGTTCACGACTTTGTGTGAAGAAGAAGGCATTCAGCGGCACTTGACAGCGCCATACACGCTACAACAAAATGGCATTGTTGAACGAAGAAATCGTACTGTCCTAAAAATGGCAAGGAGCTTACTGAAGAGCATGCGTATGCCTGCAAAGATGTGGGGGGAGGCGGTGAGGCATGCGGTCTACATACTCAATCGAGTACCGACGAAAGCCTTGGCTAGCACAACTCCCTATGAGGCATGGACGGGCAAGAAGCCTCATCTGGAGCACCTAAGGGTTTTTGGGTGCACTGCACATGTCAAGGTACCGAACGTACATACAAAGAAGCTCGACGACCGCAGCATTCCCATGGTGTACCTTGGAGTAGAAGCGGGAAACAAGGCGCACAGGATGTATGATCCCCGACACGACAAGATTCACGTGAGTCGTGATGTTGTCTTTGAGGAAGAAAGAAGCTGGGAATGGAGTGAAGCTGAGAAAAATGACCCACAGGCTTGGGTCACGTTCACCGTCGAGGAGCCCATTGATGGTGACAGAGCAGCAGTCAGTTACACGGAAGCTGGGGAGCAGGCGCCCTTTACACCTGGCGTTCCCACGGAGTCATTGACACAGGGTGCGACATCGTCATCATCTCCGAGTCCGCTAGCCGCGTCAGCTCCAGCCTCACCGTCAACTGTCCAGGGATCTCCAGGGAGTTCTGCTTCCTCGTCTACTGATGATTGGACTGAGAAATATCGTTCACTTACTGACATTTATGAAGAGACCCGTGACGATGAGCTATTGTTGCTAGCTGCCGAGGAGCCAGCAACCTATCGAGAAGCCGCAAATGTGAAAGAGTGGGAGGAAGCCATGAAGAGAGAACTGGAGGCCATCGAGAAGAACAAGACATGGGTGCTCACTGAGCTGCCACCCGGTCACAAACTCATTGGACTAAAATGGGTATACAAGTTGAAGAAGGACAGCGAAGGCAACACCCTCAAGCACAAAGCAAGACTTGTGGCAAAGGGGTACGCTCAACAGCAAGGAGTTGATTTTGAGGAGGTCTTCGCACCGGTGGCCAGACTTAACACCGTCAGATTGATCATTGCCCTTTCGGCTCAGCGGGGATGGGAGGTGCACCATTTGGACGTCAAATCAGCGTTTCTAAATGGTGATCTCCAAGAAGAAGTGTATGTGGCTCAACCTGAAGGCTTCATCGTGAAGAACCAAGAGCACAAGGTGTACAAATTGTCTAAAGCTCTCTACGGCCTTCGTCAAGCACCAAGGGCGTGGAACAAACGATTGGACCAGAGTTTGAAGGGCCTTGGGTTCGTGAGGTGTTCACAAGAACAGGCGGTGTATACAAGAAGCAATGGAGCTGACACACTCATTGTCGGAGTGTATGTTGATGACTTAATTATCACCGGCACGAGTGTGGATGAGATAAAGGGATTTAAGCAGCAGATGATGGAGGAGTTTGAGATGAGTGACCTTGGATTACTCTCCTGCTACCTTGGAATCGAGGTGGACCAGAGAAGGGACTGTGTCACACTAAGACAGTCGGCCTATGCCAAGAAGGTACTAATGCAATTCGGGATGAGCGAATGCAACCCGACAAAATATCCCATGGAACCAAAGCTGCAACTCGGAAAGGATGTTAATGGAACATTGGTGAATCCAACGGAATACAGGCGCGTCATCGGATGCTTGAGGTACTTGACTCACACCCGTCCGGATCTCTCTTATTCCGTCGGGTTGGTGAGTCGGTATATGGAGAGGCCTACTACCATGCATCACCAGGCGGTCAAGCAAATCCTAAGGTATGTGAAGGGAACCATTAGCTACGGGCTTGTGTATGGAAAAGGACATGAAGTTGAGGAGTTGGTCGGATTTACTGATAGCAATCTAGCCGGGGATGTCGATGACAGAAGAAGTACTAGTGGCATGGCATTCTACCTCGACGAGAATCTAATCACTTGGGCATCTCAGAAGCAGAGAACTGTGGCATTATCCTCATGTGAAGCCGAGTTCATGGCAGCAACTGCAGCAGCTTGTCAAGGACTGTGGCTGAGGAGTTTGATCAGCGAGGTGACTGGTTGTAAGCCCAAGCCGGTCACTCTTTACGTCAACAAGTCTGCAATAGCTTTAATGAAGAATCCAGTGTTCCACGGACGCAATAAGCACATCGATACTCGTTTCCACTTCATCCGAGAGTGCGTGGACAAGGAACTGATCGTTGTCAAGCATGTGAGTACTGAAGAACAGCGTGCTGATATTTTAACTAAGGCACTTGCTAGAATCAAATTCAAGGATATGTGCGAGCAAATTGGCGTCAAAGATCTGGCCTCCCCACGTCAAGATTAGGGGGGAGCATGTTGGAATAATCATGACGTGGCTACGCCCGAGTCACGCGTGCAGGGGCGCAAGCTGGACCGAGAGAAGTGGACAAATAACTGCATGAGTTAGTTGCGGAAGTCACCTGATCCTTAGGAAAATTTGTTTTAAGTTTGTTGCGTTGTTTACTTATTAAAGCAAATGTCAGGTTGTTTTAGAGTTGCAATTCAATCAATAAAATATTCTCAAACTCTCTCTGTGCCTTTGTTAAACTGAGTGATCTCAGTCTGTCTCCTGCGACAGAGTTTCATCACGTCTCTCCCTCTGTGCCTTTGTTAAACTGAGTTATCTCAGTTTGTTCCAGAGTGTTTTCCAGCTTCATCAATTACAACAGTTTTAAAACGCAAACGTTACCTAAAGTGAAGTTTAGACTAGATTCATAACGGTCGACAAAATGCCTTCAGAGTTTTAACAAAGTAGAAAATAATTTAAGACTGTCCAAAAGACAATTCTTTTATTGCATGAAAACAATAGGAGTGCTACTGAAGCAGACTGACTTTGACTGGGGGCATCTCAATATCCCATTGCATGTGTTTGGTATAGCTTACGTGTATATATCTCTTGCTTGGTGGACTCCATTTTAGACCTTACGAGAGATATCTTAAGCTGTTTATGGGAATCCTTTGCTTTAGCTGAAGTTAGTTGAGGTGTCAAATACAATCATTGTGCTGAAAATTAAACTCTAGCTAGAACAACAAGCAAACCAAAGGAGGAATTAAGGAACATGTGACATGAACGTACTATTTCCTACTCTGTGGAAATCCCGTGGAAGAGATTTAGCCAACAACTATACCTATTAGTTCATAAAGTTCAGTCTTTTGGTTGTATTATATGTTTTCATGTGTTCTTGATGGGGATACTTCAACTACTAGTAATTTCAAGTGTTTGATCCTCCAGAGTTTTTTACATTGTTTTTTTATTACTTACTAGATCTTAATGTAGATTGTTGGATAATCATATTTAACACACACACATGCATAAAAATGTGCACTAAAAGGATTTGAATCCTCTCATACATCACTTTTAGTAGTAGAAAGACCATTTCTTTTCTCTTGTTTTTTTTTGTTGTCCCACGAGGTATCCCCACACCTTTCGAATAGGACTAATCCTCGTTCGCGCTTGGTGGCTAACGCTGGCCCGAGGGTTTTTTACCTGCTGGGGAATTCGACCACGGGACTTCCTGCTACGGATCGTCCCCTAACAGAAGCTCAGTAGAGCCCCACGACGCTGAGCCAACCCTGCAGGTTTACGTACTTTACATACCATTTCTTTAATCACACGGCCATTCTATAATATTTAAATGATGGTTGAGACCCATCTTTATATGCAATCTTTTTCTTCCAAAGATAAATCATAATCGTTCATTAATTGATAGACATAACGTATACTGAAAAAATAGTCTTTTCATTATCTAATTAGTTATGATCTTCACCTAAAAGTGTAGCAATTGGATCTAGCTTGGACACATTCTATTGTACATGACCTTGCACAAAAGAAAGAATAGATTGAAGAATTACTGTTACACTCATCAACTATTTGTGTCATAAATTACCTTTTGAAAGTTGAACTCTGCTATTTGGCTCGCGGTTCAAATAGCTTTTTTGTTAAAAGTTCGACCATCTCATATCGTCTTTTACTTTGTTTAACGAGTAACTACGTAAAGTAACAACGAAAAGATATCTAGAGTCTATTGAAATGGTAAAAATATGTATTCGCTGTTGGATATCAGTATTCCTAATCTATTTTGGTAACATGAGGTTATTAGGATTCCTAATCTATTTTGGTAACATGAGGTTATTAGGATTCCTAATTTGTTTTGTTTTTGGTTTTAGGATTCCTAGTCTGTTTTGGTTTTAGTTTTTCTATATATATGGAGATTAGAATCAATCATCAAAAGAGAGGAGAGTTGTAATCAGAGATTAGAGAGACTTTTGAGCAATGTGAGAGAGAGATATTGTGAGCAAGTTGAGAGCTTTGGTTGAGAGTTAGTTTGTGAGTTTTGTGAGATTGTAACCCTTTGTACTCTCCTTGATTTAGTTGAATCTTCCCATCCTCTCCCCGTGGACGTAGGCAATTTGCTGAACCACGTAAAATTGGTTGTCTCTCTTTTGTGTGATTTGTAATAGCTTACTTAGGTTCCCTCGACAGGCCAGTCCTAGAACTGATGAGAGGAAGAACTGATATTTTACTTGGTTGAGATATTTTGCTTAAGGTTCTTGTTTCCTTTGTGAAACAAGATTTCCTATTGCGACCTGACTCTCTTGTTATGCTACTGAAGTGCTGTCGAAATTTCCGCTGCGCGCAACATTCACATTCTCTAACATGATTGTGAGATATCGTCACAATATCTATGTGCTTATAATTGAACTACATTTTTTTTTACAAAGATATTTGAACTATGTAAATTGCTTATATTTGATTGTCAAATATCTTCACAGTATCTATGTGCTTATATTTGAACTGTAAAGTTTCTTGGCTGTTTACATTAATCACAAACTATTGGGTAAAGAGATGCCTTTACATTCTCTGACAAGATTGTGAAATATCACTAGAATAACAATTATACTTTCTAAAAGTTGGAATTTTGAATCTAGACCTCCATTAAGGACTCAACATCAAATGAAATGAATTTGAGCAAGCAAACCAATAATGAGTCATGCAGTTATATTTTTTGACACTAATAGCAAGGATTAAGCGACAAGGCAGTTAAATTTTTTTTGACACCAATTGATAGCAAGGATTAAGGGACGAGTTTTTCCTGTTCTGCTTTGGAAAATATTTTGAGCTCTTATGAAAAACTTGCACATTTTGGCCACGGTTGTTACTCGATCACATCAACTACAAAGCCAATTATCCATATGTTTTAATGGAAAGAAAGCAATCAATTAAAGACAGGGAGAGTATTTATGGGACTTCAGTATCATATATCTAAGTGATTAAATGTTTTCATCATGACTAGGCCTGACCATGATTATTTCATAGCAACAATTTCTTCCATGCTATAGTACAATCAATTAATGTAAATAGTTAGCCTTCATTTGCTTAGCCTGTTCAATAATCTAACTCTTATGCTTTACATTCACCCAAAGTTCTCAGGACATTGGCACAAGACAAATGGTTCTACTTTTCTTGTCCTAAGGTATACATTTCTTATGGGGGAAAAAACAAAGAACTATAAGCCCCACACATCAATTCCTTTTCACAAATCTTCACCCACTCCTACATGAATTTAAAGGGCAACGTCCCCTGCCGAACCTGAAAGCAAAAATTTCTTAATTTGCCATTAATAGTAATTAGTAAATAACAACAATTAGCCATCGACAGCTTATTAGACATATAGTCGGTTGCATAATTTATGCGCTAAGTGCTGATAATATTTGGTGCATCAGCTGTCCAGTGGACAAGATCGACTAGTAACTTATCATTAAATTTCGACTCCTCAAATACGAACGGTTCATGTCCTCACATCAAACCTTTAGCCGACTAGTCCTCGGACTCCAATATAAATGTGGGTGAAGCAAGCACACTCTCCTCAAGCCAAACACACACTCTCTTCTAAAATTATTGAGGCAATGACTTCATTTTCAATGGCTTATACACCTTTGGCTATCATTCTATCCCTCTGCATTGTGAGCTCAAATGCTCAGCTCTCTACTACCTTCTACTCAAACTCATGCCCTAACGTCTTCACCACCATTAAGCCAGTCCTCCAACATGCTATTGAGAAAGAGAAGAGAATGGGTGCCTCCATTCTTCGCCTCTTCTTCCACGACTGCTTCGTTAATGTAAGTCGATCTCAAGCACGTATATTGTTTAGTACCATCTTTCAGGTTTAAGTTGTAGATAACCCCCCCTCCTCTACACCTTCAATCAATAGCACTTACCATCTCTCGACTTATTTATGATGCGGGGCTTTCGATTGTTTATGGTGTACATAAATTTGTAGGGGTGTGATGGATCAATACTCTTGGCTGACACTCCGAACTTCGTCGGGGAGCAGCATGCTAATCCCAACAACAGATCGGCAAGAGGGTTCAAAGTCATTGACAGGATCAAGACCGCAGTAGAGAAAGCTTGCCCTGGAGTTGTGTCTTGTGCCGATATCTTGGCTATTGCCGCAAGAGACTCGGTTGTCATCGTGAGTACTATATGCACATTCCAATCCTTATTTTTTTTATTAGCACTCGGAGTTTCTGACGTCTGAATAGAGTTATCTCTCTGTTATATGTACTTGTACTATAAAAGACGCATGTTTACCACCTACAAAAGAAAAGGGCGTCTCTCCGTACGTAGCTCACTGAAATGTCAGGAATCTCTGTACAACACGTTAACGATAAAATTACAAAGAGATAACTCTGTTTGGGCATAAGAGAGTCGATCTAAACAGACGCATAAAAAAAGTTTGGACATAATAAGTTGTGCGTCTGTAATTAACCTTAACATGTATGCATATGTGTTGAATTTGTTAATGTTAATTATGCAGCTTGGAGGGCCTAATTGGGATGTGAAGTTAGGGAGGAGGGATTCAAGAACAGCCAACAAAACTGCAGCTAACAATGAGATCCCACCTCCAACCTCAAGCCTTGCAAATCTCACCTCTCTGTTTGCAGCAAAGGGGCTTTCCACTAAGGACATGGTTGCCCTCTCTGGTAAGAAAATACACAATTGTTTTAGTCCTCTATATCTTTGGAGGTTTTTAGTCCTCTATATCTTTGGAGGTT